ATTTCCTTTAATTCCTAGAGGAACATAGGGCTTCAGCTGCACGTCTCCATTGCGTTCGATTCTCTGCTAAAGTTTTCACCTGGCTCCATGTATGCCCACATGCTTTCACCTCCTCCAAGTCACCCTTGCACTGACGACCGACCCGCCGCTTCCCATTCGAGTTCTACTCGAGCGATGGCTTGTCTAGTGATGTCACTTGATGGTTTATTTCCTCAGAGTATGGTCAATCCACCTTTATTTCTTCCTGCTTATTTGTTGCACAATTGGTTCCTGGTTGGTTTGCTCCCAGAGATCCCTGTTGCTGATCTTTTTTGGCCATCTGATCTTGAGTACTGAGCGAAGGCAGCTGTTGATGAAGGTGTGTAGTTTGTTTGATATGCTCTTTATGACGCGCCAAGTCTCTGGTTAATAAAGTAGCCCTGACTTCACATTGGAGTTCAAAATTCAATCCAATCCAATCAATCGATGGTTTCCTCAGAGTATGGCCGATCCACCTCCATTTCTTCCTGCTTATTTTTTGCGAAATCACCAATAAGCATTAGATTAATTTTCAAGTGTTAGTTTATAAGGATTTAATGGATTTCATTTTAAATTCAAAAATGTTTTCACTAATCACTGATAGTGTGCATACGCAGACTTTGTTGAATTCAACGGAAATAAAGTAGACATCTCATTACCTTTTTGTTTGAGTCAAATGTTTTAAAATGGATAAATTAGAGTTTAAAGGATTATTCAGTTAAAAATGTCTAGCAGTGGAAACTGCTGTGGTCACGTCATCTGAATGAACATGTATCCCCTGGCGAGTGATGCTGTTCTAACAGAGCATACAGAGAAGAAGGGTTTCAGCAAAATATAAATCAATCAATGAGCAATACAAAATAAGTTAAGCAAATAAGAGAATATTCAAGTGTTCGTTTGAAGGGATTTCATAATTTCAAGTTTGATTGCGAATTAACTTCGGTTAGAGGACCATTAAACAGCTATTTAATTCTTAGTTTGGACTCTTTACCAGTCCTAGTCATTGGGGTCCACAAAGTTGGACGAGAGGATAGATATTCACCGATGACATCGTATGGCAGTTGTGCTATATCGCGAATTGGTAGAAGTTAGAAGTGGTGGGTCATTGGATTCCGCTCGAGTGACTCAATGGTATGTGGGTTCGCTTTGTAACCTGAAAGTCCTGATTTCGATCTCTGACAAGGTCATGGGAGTATAATGGTGGAGAGTCTCACATAGGGATGAAACAGTTCTTCTCTGCTCCCTGATAGAGTTTCCAGTGGTCCATTAGATGAACAAAATTGAGGTCAGTCAAATCTCTGAAAACTAACCTAGTGCTCACTAGTGACTCCCTACAGGTTGTAGTTGCCTGAAGTCCTACTGGAACGTTGTGATCCAATGGGGAGTAAAGACACATACTGACCTCTGATATTGGCTAGCGTTTTCGCTATATCGAAATAGGAGAATAATTTAATCTTTTTAATAATAAACTTGGAAAGAAGTATATGTCAAAAGACGGATGAAGTATTTGCGCAATATTAATAAATATTTTGAGCAATCTGATTACACATCTGCTTTTGTCAGTCTACAATTTTTATATGCAAATAAAAAGGAAGATAAGTCAAACAAAATAATGTGGGGTGCAAAGTAAGGAAGAGATTAATTGATACTAATATTATTCAGAGTAGACCGTAGGGTTTCAACAGCATAATGCCATTTCACACTGTTCTCTAGAGTCTGTTTTCAGGTGGCCACACGATTGCCCATAAACTTCCATCTCCTCTTCATATGATCTTCTGCGTGTTATCCTAAAAACCACATTAAACTCATCACTTCCTACTGGGATTGCACTGAGTCATTTGTCTGATGAGTGATGTAATTTAGTGGTCATTTCACAATTTGTCCAGACCATTTCCCTCTGTATATTTATTGAGAAATTGATATCAAATACATTGATAATTAAGATAATCAGATAAGGATCATTGAAGTAGGGTAGATGGGACAATATTTCCATATACATGGGGGTGGGGTGGGGGTAACATTACACACACTAGAGCCTCAGCATGTTAAAATGTATTACTTCTGACAGTTCCTATAGGAAATATTGAAGATGGTTTAAACGTCAATAAGTCATATGATTCGGTATCGACAGTGTGTTTTGCTGTAGAGACAAACTGGTAGACCAAACTCTGTACAAAATCACATTAGGCTTACATGTGTGTGAAAAAAAGAAGCAATCAGCTTGAGTTTTTAAAATTTAACTTCTTATTTGAAGTTTTTCAATATGTTACTGATAAAATTGTGAGTAGTCTACTAAAAAATTACACATGGCATACACTAATAGATTTTGTTTTCTGCATTTACCAGTAAAATTAAACATTAACTGCAAAGTAGTGGTGATTAACTAAGCAAAGCTTATGAAAGATGTACGCTCGAAAAAGACAACAGTAAATGAGAAGATCACCTAGGAGATGAGGATGGCACATTGGTTAGGTGCATGACAGACAGTTAAATAACTTTCAAGTTGTCAGTTATCAAACTCAATAGCCACTCTAAAGTTGCACAGGCTGTCTCAAATTTGTGACTAGACAGAAAGAAGTAACTTAATGGTTTCCCTATAGAAATGTCCAAAGACTAGAATATATCAGGTACTTACTAGTATAGTATGTAGGAGTCCAAGGTGTAATTCTTTAGTCATTCAGGTTTACAAGAAACAACAGGAGAGATTTGATAAATATAACTACGATGGTGACCAGCTTTATCATTACAGTAAGTAAAATTTTAAAATGCATATTCCTTTGAAGGCCGAACTCAGTTCACAAGGAACAAACCTAGGAAAATCAAAAAAAATAAAAGACATTTCAGCGAATAAAATTTTCTTTATCGACAAAATCATTTTCCGAGACTGTACAGTCGTGTTTATATTTACCAAAAATGAGTAGCAGTCCATTACTCAGTTGTATGCGGGGATGACATAACTGACATATGCGTCGGTGACATAGCGGTCAGGACTCTCGCCGATCATGCACATGGTCCGGGGTTCGATCTCCTGTCCACGCACACCTGATATCAATTGTTGGCCTGAAAAATTTGGGCTACCGATATCACATGCTGAAAATTCCATACTTTTACCAAAAATACTGTGTGGAATCAAGCTATAATCATAAAAAAGAAGAAAAATAATTACTCAGAAGTGGCTTTAAAAGTTAAAATGAAAGTCATAAATTACGTAATACTCAACAGTACAAAGGAAGAAAGGGTTACAAATACGATAGGGTTGAAATTGTTATTGAGTGAGAAGAAAAGTAGTTGAGTGTCCATTTTAAGGTGTAAAGAAACTGAGAAAATTTAAAAAAGGGACATATGACAGTGATATGAGAGCGAATTAATTATTAATAAAAGTAGAAGTAAGCCAATCATTAAAAATTACAGGGAACGATTAATGAAGAGGTTAAGACCACGGCTGAATAAGAGACTGGACAAACGTTTTTTGTAGTGAGAGTTCGGGCTTGTATTGACGAATTTCCATAGCCTGCGGCACACACAAATGCCCCTTGTAGATAATCTTGAAGGGCGACTCTGGTGGAGCTGTGTGGCTTCAGTTCATAAAGTGCTCGAGAATTGAGCTAGTAACTGTCTTGCACTGTCCTTCTGCTTACCATGCCAGATGATGATCAGAGATGCGTTTGGGAAGTGTGCTCTTTGTGTGGCTAATAGAACTAGCTCCACAGGAACAAGTGAATTTATACACACACGTTGAATTGGCCCAAAGCGGCAGTTTATCCTTCACACATCCATTGATCATTTGTCAGCTGTGAAAACTAATCTGTAGGTCGGCTGAGAAGGATGCTTTTCTTAGTGATCTAGACAAACGGTTTTTCAGAATCTCAGCTGCGGTATCACCTTTAAATTAAACATGCATGAATAACAGTTTCCTCGGTACTGTCTGCGTTCTTTAGGGCTTTTATTTTACATTCATGTTTTTCTCGACGAATCTTGAGGGATATCAGCTTTCCGTGAGGACTTGTCTGAGTCTCTCCAGTTCACCATCAATTGTATCACTTGTACATATTCTTCTTATTCTTGAGGATAAGGAGAGAATCTGTGAAAACTCATGCATTCACCATTCCATGTTGATTTCCTGTTTATTGATTTTTTGAAGAGAACTGTCAAATCTCATTTTTAGTAAGACATTCAAAAAAAAAAATGAAATTCCGAGTATTTTTCTGATTCCGACGTGAACTGGATAGTATGATGGCAGTTGCTGAACTTCTTCGTTATCATTTCGATGTTAGGATTTTCGTCACATGTGATAAAAGTATCATTCACATATCTTTGGTACATATGAAAACTATCGATAGTGGGTCGTCACAAACTACTCTCTAAACTTGTCAAGAAGCAGTCTGCAAGTAAAGGATCTAATGGAGACCTCATTGCAACTCCATCTCTTTGTCTATAGAGGGTGTTATTGAACTTGAACGGGACATTGAAAGTTCATCTAAATACTAGTTCGTTTGAGTGGTGGTCAGAATACCAACGTCCAGATTATTATCCTCGGTGAATTTGCATATAAAGCGAATAGTTTCAGTGAGAGGAACATTAGTGAAAAGGGATGTAACATCCATAGATATCATTTTCATCCTGGATACATTGACATCACTTATTGAATCGAAGAATTTAAATCAATCTGAAACACTATACTGACAGAGATTATTTCTGATAAGCAATAGGATGTCTGCGAGCCATTCGGTAGTAGCATAATATGGTGAATTTGTCATATCAAAGATTAGACATAGCGGAACGTTCAATTTGTACAGTTTCGGGAGACCATATAGTCAGGGAATTACAGATGTGGCAAGTGCTACTGATAAGACTTAACAGTAGTATATAAAGAGACTTTCACAGGCAATAAAAGTCAAAGAAGAGGGTGGCAGATTTGATTTCAGAAAAGGCAAATGATACATGAAAGACACATGGGATATGTTAGAGGAACTAAAAGAAGCAAAATATGAAGTATAGAAGTACCACAGCACGAAGATCTGTGCTAATGGCGCTTTGAAGATACGGTATACATAACTTAGCTATATAGATATACCGATTTCCAAACAAACATTCCTTTACCAAGTATAAGCCTTCTACCGTTTCAAATGGTAACGCTGCCTTCAGACAATGAAGAGGAAGGAGGAGTCAGGAGCTTCTTGTGGGACTTTGAGATCGTCGCCGAGTCTGTGTGCGTCAAGGATATGGCAGCGAAGACAGTCGTGCTGGGGACGATGCTGTGAGGTCGAACAAAGGTGGCCTACGACAGAGTGGAGCGGTCAGGTAGGACGGAGACCTGGAAGCTGGTGACTAAATGATTATTGGCAGCCCAACGGACAGGCAGCTGGCAATGCAGGAGTTCCATGTCGCGAAGCTGGAACCGGCCGGAGACCCGCTAGTGTTGGTATTGAAGTTGACAATTTACTATGTCGTGTACTCTCCACATTGGATGGAGGGTCGGAGTCGCAGTTATTGGCGTCCCGGTTCATCAAGTGTCCCAGAACACATTTCTCGCCAACTACAACTGGTTAACGCTGCACAATACATGGAAATCGGTGGGCTAGAGAAGGTGACCAGGAAGTTGCTGAGCACAACGCTAGAAGCAACAGAGAAACCAAAATTGAATGAAGAGGAACAGAAAGTGGAAGATTTGCAACGTGAAGCAGCAGCACTACGAATGAGTGCCCGGAAAGACTTGTGTTTTGAATGTGGCAAAACAGGGCCCTGGAGGATGCGATGCCCAGAAAGAAGGAGAAGAAAAGATTTCATACAGTATAATGCGTGTTCTTTCTCTTCTGTCAGACTACAAGTAGTGGGGGCTAGTTAGAGGGGGGCAATGTATTCTAAATTCCAACTAATTAGCCGAGAAGTCGTATTTCTGATAGATATAGCTATGTCATAGCGTCAGACCAGGATCATCAACAGTTCAGACGACAGGTGGACAGGCGCCACGCATCGCCATCACGTTCAACTGTAGGGTTTTTATAAGCGGTGGCGAAGTTATTTTCCCGTTCATTTTTGTATCCAGGTTAAGGCGACCAATAGTTGGCGCCGATTTTCTGCGAGATATTGGTGTGGTAATTAACACGAAAGAGAGGGTAGTGATAATGAAGTACAGACCTATCGGTATTTATGAGACAAGCGAGAGAGCAGGCATTACGGCGTCGAAAACACAGAATATGACTGCGTTAGTTAAAGGATCTGTTCATCAGAGATGGGAACCCCAACGGTTATTGTTTTTTTTCCTTCATGTTCCCAGTGGAACATTGTGCTTCAAGCTAGTGGCTTGAAGTTTCTCTAGCAGTGTTTATTTTTACAAGATGGGGTTGCTAACCCATGCCCAACCTTTCCTCTTTACCAGGATTATTTCTGGCTTAGCGAGGTAAAGGAATGCGTTGGCGGCCGGGGATCGAATCCCGGACCATGTGCATGGTCGGCGAACGTCCTCACCGCTATGCCACCGACGCACACGGTTATTGTGATAAGGTGGAAATAAAATCCCACTAAGCAGTCGCAAGATGGCACCATTCACAACACGAAGAGTCCCACATCATTTGGAGGGTGAAGTCAAGGGACCAATGAAGGAAATTTTACAGGATGATATTATTGAAGTAGCTGACAGTCCATATAACTCTCCAGTTCTTTTAGTGAAGAAGGCAAACGGGAAGTACAGATTCTGCATCGATTTCCGACAGCTAAACAGCATGACAGAGCTCAGACCATGTGCCATGCCAACTGTAGCAGAGACCTTGGACCGTCTACAAAGTGCGAAATTGTTTACAGTACTTGAGCACATGTCAGGATATTGGCAGATACCGATAAAACAGAGTGACAGAGATAAGACGGCGTTCATTGTAGGACAGAAGCAGTGCCAGTTTACACGCATGCCATTTGGACTATCAGGTGCACCGGTTACCTTCAGACGACTTATGACACTGTTACTTAGAAACTTGAAGGATGTATAGGTATACGGTGATGATCTCCTCATCTAAGGTCAGAATGAAAGCGACCATGTGAACTATATCGAGCCGAATTAAAACGCATCGAAGAGTTCGGACTGCGTATCAAAAAATACAGTTTTAGATAGCCAAACGGAGTATTACGCTTTGTGGTCATAAAGTAAGCAATGGTAAGATAAAACCGCTTTCGGATGAAATCTTGTCAATAAAGACCACTATGGCCCCGAGTTCCAAGACGAAGCTAAGACAGTTCCTGAGGAGCGTAGCGTTTTATAGTCGATTCGTGAAAAACTTCAACGACATAGTAGCCCCCCCTTTAAAGGCTATCAGGCGAGTCGAAGTTTGTCTGGGCAGAAGATTCCCAGAAGATATTCGACAGTATTAAACGGCTTTTGGACCACCAGAAAATTACACTAAAACTGCCTGCCAGTTCACAATGTGTACAGATGCGAGTGACTATGGCATAAGAGCAGTACTTAGACAGGGTGAAAAAGTTGTCGAATACGCCAGTCGTGTCTTAACACACACAGAACAGAAGTATTCAATGATAGAAAAAGAATGTTTGGCAATAGTATGGGCAGTATACAAAGGAGATAAATGGTCAAGAAAGGCACTTCAAACAAAATACAGACTTTCATCAACAGGTGTCTTCACTCATTACTCAAAATCAGATGACCAGAAAAGATCAGCAACACAGATGGATCTCTGGGAGCGAGCCAACCAGCAACCAACTGTGAAACAAATATGCAGAAATAAATGGAGGTGGATTGGCCATATTCTAAGAAAACAAACCACCAAGTGACACCACACATCAGGCCATCACTCAAGTGGAACCCAAATGGGAAGCAGTGTGTTGGTTGTCATTGGGAGGGTAACATGGAGGTGACGTGGAGAGGAGATGAAGGCATTTGAGCAGATGTAAATGAACAAATTCGTTGGGAAATACTCTAGTGTTCTGCCGTTACACGTCTGTTCGAACATTTATTTGGAAAAATCACACTGTTTTTCACTATTCTTATAATTGCGAATCACTACATTTTTCATCATGCGTATAAGTGCAATTATAATAATAATAATAATGACTAATTGCACAATTTATATACAAAATCTTATCATCCTATTAACAAATCTTCACGAATGGTTTATATTTAAAATTATAAACTTACATATATCAGCATGAAACCCTGATGAGATGTAATTGAAAACAATTCTGTTCATTTTTATGTATTATTCTAAAACAACTTACATAAACGTATAGTTGTGATAAGCAGTAATAAAACCATTCAATTACTAGTGTATAATACTATTCTGTGATTAACACTTTTGAAATGATAATTAAGAATCTCAATGGATACCTGTTTTTAAATTTAAATGGATAAAATTAAGTTATCAAGTTAGAGTACACTTTCCGACTGAACATTTAGTGAAGTTTCCATTCTTTCTAGTAAGCTTACATTTACACCATGATAATAAGTATAACTTAGAGGTTTTATTTCAAGTCAGACCTCTAACTTACGTTAGTTAGAGAACCATGGGACACTAGGGTGTGCTGAACAGATATTTCCTCTTTGTTTAAGACTATTTAGCATCATGAACTCACTAGGGTTCAGGAACTTCAAGTTACAAAACGATCCATCTCAGCATTCAATCATTATAGCTTATCGGTCTAGGCTCCCTCAACTACTAACCACTGAATCATGATTCATCCTTTGTCAGATTTTGCGATGACAATATTTTTATCCTGTTTTGGACTAACTAGAGCTTCTCTTTCCGATTTTGTTAAGTTTGATTTTGCTTTCTTTTGATTTCTCAGGGTTAATGCACATTGTGCTCAAACCTCTTCTGCTGTCGTCTTATCTATTGAACCTAATGTTACTTCTATGTTAGGAATGACATCCTCTGTTTTAATTTACTAACTGTCACATTGAAATTTAGTCCTTTCTCAAGTACTTTTATTTCACTAGAGCTTAGTTCCCTTGATGAGAGGTTGAACAACCATTTCGTTCCGTCAATAGAGGATAAAACGTTGACGTCAATTTCATTTATTGTGTTTTTTTCTTCCATTAGTTTGTTGAATTTTTGGATTTGTGTAGTTTTTGATTTTCTTAATGATGATTCTCTTTGTCATTGACCATACCTTTGAGTTTGTGTTTGAGTTCTTCGATTTCATTTCGTATATTATTCAGTTTCCCAATAATTCGATGTAGTTCTTCTCTCAGACATAATCTACTGACAAGTTCACCTGCTGATGTGATTTTTCTTGATGTAATAGGAGTACGTATGCATAAATATTTTGGAATTATATGATTTTTTTAAAAATCGACTGTTGAAAATCCGATGGTTTGTGAAATAGAATGATATCATTTTATACTGCAAATTCCGTCTTCCTTTCTTTATCGAAATTTATCAAGGGAACCAAATGTATGAATCTTGCTTCTGTTTGACAAAGTCGTGTGAGTTTGTCGATTAGCTTCCTAGTAGGAAGACCATAAGTTTTATACTTATATCACTGAATCATGAGTTCAAACTTCGATTCATCTACTGAGGTTTCGACAAACATGTAGTATCACTAACCCTCATAGCCATACAATAGGTGTGGCTCAATAAAAACTGTATGCAATCGCAAGTGGTTGGGGTTATTAAGTAACAACACTGATTAATTCAACCACTGTGATGGAATCTAATGGCCTATGCAACCTCACTTCTGCTTATTTCGCGATAAAGAAGTTTTTTCTTATTCATTAGTTTGAGTTTTTTTTCATCCCTTATCTTAGATATTTGATAGTAGGATGTATGCGCTATGTAACTTGTATGATGACGGTTTAGAATACTATCCGAGATTAACAAGAACAACAAAGATGGACAAGGAATAGACTTCTGTATATTCTATCATTTAAAAACCAACTACAAAAAAGCCATAAGGGCTCAATATGATGTACGATATTGAGGTTAGTTAACAGTACCAATCTGCAGGTATAACTACCGTCAACATCTTCACAATTATGGCATACAAAAACCATCCAACTATTTCAGTATCTCTGTCTAATTAAGTGGTAAGATTACAAACATTTCTGAAATACACCCAAACTTTTCTTTTAAAATATGCCAAAAACTGATGTACACATAGAAGTTAATTGATGGATGGTAAATAGCAGTGGAATCCAGGATAACGGGCACTTCGTCCCATTTGGAACTCGTCATCTGCATGTACCTGCATTCCGCAGTGAGTGATGATGTTCCCACCGAGGCTCAAACCCAGTGCCCATAGTTTCAAACACCAAAGCGTTATCCACTAGGGCCATCTCTTGTGCAACGGGTCATATATCAATTATTTAATTTAATTTTAGATTTTCCCGTCGATTGATTTGACAAAAGTGCTCGGTCTCAGGTTGACATGTCGGCGGTTTCTTGTATGCATAGTAAAATGAATTATAAATTAAAACTACTGATGATTTGTATTAACCATTTTCTGAATCCTTTCACGAATTGCTCAATAACACTTGATGACGATAATTACCGACAAAATATGTAAACTGTTCTCTTCATGCTTCAAAATATTCAAGAATTTAACATTTTATGGTGAAATCAACATCTATTGAGCTATAAATATCAGTATTGTGATAAGATTAAAAGTTCGACAGATGTTGGTATGGTTGGTTAATTGAGAAAAAAAGGGGCTAGGAAATTATCCAACACTAGCAAGCATCAATCCTAAGCGGAGGGGTAAGTAACCAGATAGACACACATGCCACTTTTTGTCAACCCATTTAAACTTATGTTACTTTAATCAGTGATCCTTGCTGAGTTTTCAACTTACAGCTCTACACAAAATTGAAGGAGTTCAAGATTTTACACCATATAACGCGCATAAAGATAGCTAGTAAAAATAAATAAAAGTATGGTAGGAAATTATCGAAAAGGATACTCTTTGCTCAATTTTTTTCTAATTGTCTGAATGTTTTCACTATATATATATATATATATATATGTTCCCAGTGGAACATAGGGCTCCAAGCTAGTGGATTGAAGTTTCTCTAGCAGTGTTTATTTTTACAAGATGGGGTTGCTAACCCCATGCCCAACCTTTCCTCTTTACCAGGATTATTTCTGGCTTAGCGAGGTAAAGGAGTGCGTTGGCGGCCGGGGATCGAACCCCGGACCATGTGCATGGTCGGCAAGCATCCTAACCGCTGTGCCACCGACGCATATATATATATATGTATACATATATCAGTGACATGTACCT